TTATTGTATAACTGTAGGTTTTTTATGACTTCGTAACGGAAATATTTTTGAAGTGAAAACTTCTTTATGGACTTTGGACACTTTTGGGATGGGGAAAAAAGCACGCTCAGATACTTATGTATCTGAGCGTGCTTTTTTCTTTTTTTATAAATACCATATATTTACCAACTTTCTTGAACATTTTTAACAAATTTTAGAATATTTCTTATTTCACTTCTGACGTGCAGTCCTACGACTGACTGTGTTTTTTTATGCAACTTAAACTAGCAAACAAACTGACCGTCCTTATGGAAAGCGGTATTAGTCGTTTATAGAGAAACAGATATGTTATTATGATGAAATTATTTTAATGTTTTGTTTAATAAGTTTTTATATTTGCACGCCTACAGTGTGGCAGAATAAGATTGGACTATTTTTTCTTGTAAAGTAACACCTATAAAAGTGTACCTTATTCCAGCAAATAAATGATTTCAATTTTAATTTCAGCAGCATGGATATTAGTGAATGTACTGTGACATCCATGGTGAGGATTATAGTGTTATGCCTCCATGTTTTGTAATTTCGATGTCTCACTTTGAAGAAGTAACACGAGTTGATGACTTTTATAAAAAAAGTGGTTATTTGCGTATAATTTATCGGTTGTTACATTTAAAATATTTCGGTTAATAAAATATTAATCGAATCTAACTGATTGGTTCAAAGTGTGACCTTGGTTGTTGATATTTTTAACTTTATCTTCTATGCATGCAATAAAATCGTAACTAGGCCAGTAGTATACGTGACATATTCTTTGAACTATAGATACTTATTAGTATTATTGCTGAAATAAAATTCAAAATAATTTGTTACAAGTACATGATACTCTGGTGACTTGTAATACAAGGTTTTCGAAAACCTACTGCAGGCATCAGTCTCCCACAAAACTGTTCTCACATATTTAATTGTACCTCAAACTGTTACTTTATACTACTTTTTGTGAAGAGAAAAATAAACCATTCATTAATTTATTAATTAATGTATTAATTCATTTATTAATTTAATAATTAAGGTATTAATTAATTCATTAATTTATTCATTTATCTATTAATTTATTTATCCAGTCATTCATTTTGCTTCACAAAGTAACCGATTTCAGTCTAGGTAAAACACAGCGACGATTTTTCCTAATTTCAAGTAGGTAGATTTCACATTGCAGTAAGTAGTGTCTTGCATAGCAAAAACAAAAGGCAGATTTTGTAATATGTAAATTTTATAATATAATAGCAATAATTTGTTTTTCTTTCTAGTAAATAAATACAATATATATATATATATAATTTAATGATAAACTTTATAGTTGCTTTACTGATAAATGTTTTTACCGTCTTGAAGACTATTTTAATGTACAATTTTAAGGACAAGATATTAATTTGCTATTAAAATTTGCACGCCACACTGTGGAATACACAGATTCTGGTTTTATTATTAAATACTTGTAATATAGATAGATAGATAAATAGATAGATTATTTCTGGTAATAAAGATTTATTACCAGAAATAATATTAAAAAAAATCATCAATAAAAAGTAAAAAAATATATTTTTGCTGGTATTAGTATACCTGTATTCAACTATAACAAACGAACATACTCATTTTCATAATTATAATATTAGTGAAGATAGGATCACTATTTAAATATAGGTTTTATAAACGACTTTATTAAAAGTAATTTAAGATATGTTTGAAAAAAAAAATCAATTGTGGTAAAACAAATTATATTAATTTCAAAAGTAAATTATTGAATCGATTATGATAAAGTATGTGCTTCTATATAAAAAGAAAGAAATTTCCAAATCGATTTAGAATTGACGGAGTTATGATGTATGCGATGCCATTCCTGAGGACTGGCATCGCATGGGGAGTATCACGGGCGAAACAGTATACTCTGTTATGTCCATGGTACTACTCATGTTTATAATTTTTTTTATAAGTTGTATAAAAAAAAATACGACCGAATTGTGGACCTTCTTCATTATGGAGGAGATTCTTAATTATTACTTTAAAATATCTGTTATTGGGCTAATACGTTATATATTGCACATTATATGTATTATTTATAATAAAATGTTTACAATCGATTATCGGACTAGCTTTTCCTCGGCCCATATGTATAGTGTTTTTTTTTTTTACAACATAGGGGGCAAACAGCATGCGGCTCACCTGATGGTAAGTGACTACCGCCGCCCATGATCACCCACAACACCAACAGCATTGCAGGTGTGCTGCCGATGAGTATACTTTATTTGCATTTTACAATATAGGAAATAAGCAAGACAACTCACAAACACAACGATACACAATAAAAAAGGGCAATAAACAATGCTTTTTTATTGCCCTTTTTTGGCAATTAGACAATTTTTTAATTAATATAATATGCAGGTGTGCAGATTGCTTATTTATTACCAATATTTTGGAAATATTTACTAATAAAAGTCTTAGAGATTTTGCCTCACTCTGCGTGTTTTACCGCTTGTACAATGGATTGTGCTCAGAGGAATTGTTCAATATGATGCCCACGGCCACTTTCTACTATCGTACGGCTCGCCATCGACAGGGAGTTTATCCTCATGTCCTACAGCCTCAATGGTTGCGTACAGTGCGGTTTCAGAGATGTTTCCTCCCACGAACACTCAGGTTGTGGAATGAGCTCCCTGCCGAGGTTTTCCCAAGAGCCTACAGCATGGGGTCTTCAAGGGGGGGGGGGGGTAAGAAGGTTTCTTCTGGGTTCGCAACGCGCGCGTAATACCTCTGGTATTGCAGGTGTTCATAGGCTACGGTAAGTAGGCCGTATGCTTGTTTGCCACCTCAGGGGTATAAAAAAAATAATAAAAGTTTTTTATTAACGGTCTCAAACTTTTGACCGGCAGTGTATATGTATAAATATTGTGACTACAATATATAGACATTGCTATATGTAAACTATCCTTATTTTATAGCTTCGCTTTAAGTACATCACCGTCTTACCTTGATGTAACTAACGCCAAATTAGTTTGTTCACAGCCGTAGAACGACCTATACTCACACGCCTTTATGAAATCTTTATAAACAATTTATTTCATACATCAATGAAGGATATTCGAATTTCGACCTAATGTTCGTTATAATAAAAGTGATATTGGAAATGTAGTGATACTGAATTTTCATAGTGTTTGCTACCAATGATTTAGTGATTGAATTGAAAATGAGTGCGATTATTTACAATACTGATGTAACAGGTATTAATGAAATATAGTTATTTGTTTGGAAATGTTTGGACTTAATTATGGATTATTAAAAAATAATAAATAACAGTTAATAAGTACTGCGTTTGCGATTTACTAAAGGTTCACTTAAAATTATCCCCCCCTCCGGCGGGGGAGGGAGTACTATTGTCTTTTGAATAACGGTTTGTAGTGATTGAGTTAATTTTTTTACATTCGTTACCTCATATCTTCGTCAGTTGTAAACCGATTTGGAAAATTTATTTTTTTACTTACAGATTAGTCCCATAAGAATTTTACCAAAATCTGTTAAGTAGTTTATTTTTTACATCAAAATATCTGGTTTTGCCACAATTAAAGTCTGTTTTTTTAGAACGCAATGTTTAGTTGTCCATATTCAGTAGTTATTAACAGTATTATTAAAGATACTTTACTCAATATACTATTACAAATTATACTTTGTACAAAAGTCGATCTTGGGCACCTCTGTCCCATTCGTGTTTCAACCGTGAAGCAGTTGCATGGCTGTGTTTCGGTTTGAAGGGTGGGATATGGCGTGAATTTACAGGGTACAAAGAAATAATACTTGAGTCCTCAGGAATGGCAACGCTTGGGGGTATCATGGGCGAAACAGTATACTCTGTTATGTCCACGGTACTGCTCATGTCTATAGGCGACGGTTACCACTTTCTATCAGGTGCGCCGTTAGCTTGTTTGCCATTCTAAGTTGAATAAAAAAAAAACTATATATATATAATTTCTCAAAATCCTTATTTATTTTGATTTTATTAATGTGTTGCTTCGTATCGTCTTAACAGCTTAACCAGGGGGAAAGGGATTGTTAGTAATGGAGACTGAGAATCCCATTGCTAGCAATATACCCAACCTGGTTGACCTCTTCGCGGTTCCCCCTGGAAATTATCATGGTAAATTGCTGATGAATTCATCATGATGGGCTAACTAGCCTGTTTTCATTCTCATCTATCACCCTTCACTGATGCTCTGCCAGCGTATCCCGTTAGCGCAGATAGGGTTACCATACCATTTCCATTACTAACAATCCCTTTCCCCCCTGTCTAAAAGGCCTTTTTCAAATGATGATAATGGAATGGTAACCCCGCTAGCGCTAACGGTATACACTGACGGTGTTCCGGTGTCGGATGATAGGTGAGATGAAAGGGCAGGCCAGTTAGCCCATCGTGATGAATACACCTGGAATTCAGCACGATGGTTTCGACGACCTGACAGGTATATTGCTAGCAATGGGACTGGTAGTCCGTATTACTAACAATCCCCCCCGCCCCCTGTCTAGAGGGTCAGATCTAAATTATATCGAGCATACGTCAAAATGATGGATGGTAATGTCCATTTGATGTCATATTCAATCAGCTTACTAGTGTTTTCATTTTACAAACAAGTATTTTAAAAGCATTAATAAAGAAAGAAAGAAAGAAACTTTATTCTACAAAAATATGCGACTACAACCACACAAGTTGTTGTTGTATCAGCTGTTAACACTGCTGAACACAGCTTCCCCTTAAGGGGGTTTTGCCAGTAGTTGCCACGTTTGGCAGACGGGTTGGCAACCGCTGTTTGGTTTCTAGTTGTTTTAAGCGGGACGCTGCTGCTCATCCCTCCATCATAAGTTTCCTAAGTCGCCTTTTACGATACCCATGGGAAAAGAATGGGTGGCTTCATTCTATGTTGGGTCCTAGAAGTATAAAGAAGTAGTATTAAGAAGTATTTTTGTCTTATTATCAGGTCACGTGCCCCAAAGTCGAGCCAGGCGGTTAGCGAACAAGTTGTGCAGTTTAGAATCGTGGCGGCGGAGAGTGCCCATTACAATATGGCTGCCCAACTACAAATTGGACTATTTACTCCGAGATTTTATAGCGGGTAAGTTGCCGATCTTAGCTGTCGTTAAAAGAACTCATCAGTCTGTCATAGATCTAAGAAACTGGATAGAATTTCTCAGAAGGTGATTCGGAAACACCATGCCATTTAGTGAGCTAACGATTAAACTAGAGGAGGAAGTTGCTAAGGAAACTTTATTCATAGGTATAATTAACAAATACATAATGATGGGGAGGGGAGAAGGGATGGTTAGTAATGTGGACTATAAGTCCTATTGGGTTATCCTGTCCGGTTAAACCTGACCCTGATTCTGCTACTGGGAACGGCTTATCCAGAGCCAGGGGGACTACAGATATCTTAAACCGCGGGATATCGTTAGGGTAACACATAGAATCTATGAAATGATGGTATAAGGCAGGGAGAAGCATAAAAGATCCCTATGGGTCGACGTGCAACGGCTTAGCTGACCCCATATGCGAAAAATAGGATAAAAATCCTGACTTTGACCTTCGGTTCCCCCTGGGAACAATCGTGCTAAATTTCATGTGTATTCATCACAATAAGCTAAGAGGTGAGCGTAAAAGGTCTGACTTAGGTTACAGTGTCTTAGATTATATAGATAGAGCATCGAGCCTCAAAAACGGGTCAACTTTTCGTCAGCTAATTGTCAAATTAGCTGACTCCTTTTTTTTATCAGTGTTCTATATACTTACGCACATGATGTATTTTGACGTATCTATATTTAATTATTTAATAAATAAAATGAGTTTTTACCCATTAAAAAGATGCAAAAATTATAATACAAAATAAATATAGAAGTTATAAAAGAAACACTCGTAATTATTTATCAAGCAGAATTGTATGAAAAAGTTGACCCGCTTTTTTCGAAACATATTTATGGAGACACTTTATGTATATAATCTAAGATGTTTGTATATAATAATATGTTACCATGCGGACAATGTCGCGGGTAGGGGGGAAAGGGATTGTTAGTAATGGAGATTGAGAATCCCATTGCTAGCAATATACCCAGCCAGGTCGACCTCCTCGTGGCTCCCCCTGGAAACTATCATGGTTAATTCCTGATGAATTCATCATGATGGGCTAACTGGCCTGTTTTCATTCTCATCGATCACTCTTCACTGGTGCTCCGCCAGCGTATCCCGTTAGCGCAGGCGGAGTTACCATTCCATTATCACCCATCGAAAAAAAACGTCGCGGGTAAAAACTAGTACTTACAAAATTTTATGTAATACTATTTAACATATCCAGTGAAAATTTTAACTTATTTATTTGACGATAAATGGAACTTCTTTCAACACAGTTACAGTGTGTCAGAAATGATTGATTATGTTAAACTGATTCGAAGTGATTGAAAAAAGGTTAAATGCATGCTCGTGTCGGTAATTCGAAATAAATTAAGGTCAGTAACATATGGAAAAATTAAGGAATCCTATAAATAACTGCGTTGACACGTGGATTGAATAATAAATAGTAAGGAACGGTTATTTATATAACCTATGCACTATCTCTAACCCGCGGCTTCGTCTGCGTTACCGGGATATATTGAGTTGTTGGGATGTATAATAATGTATATAAATATATACTGTATGTGATTCTCCATCTAAAATACGTCTTGTATGTTTAATTTTGCGATTAATTGAACGGGGTACGGTACTGGATGGCTCCAGTAATGACAGTAAAGATGTGGTAGGATGGCTCCTGCCACATTAATATTTTTTTTTAATGGATGATAATGGAATGGTAACCCCACCCGCGCTATCGGTATACACCGGCGGGGCACTAGTGAAGTATGATAGGTGAGGATGAAGTAGGTGAGGATGAAGTAGGTCAGTTAGTCCATCGTGACGAATTCAACAAGAATTGTTCACGATGGATTTCAGGGGGAACCACGTGGAGGTCGACCTAATAAGGCATATTGCTAGCAATGGGGCTGTCAAACTCCATTACTAACAATCCCTTTTCCCCCGCCACATTACTATTGTCAAAGAAGTTGACGGCCCACCTGATGGAAAATTGTAAGCGTCGCTTATAGACAAGAACAGTTTGAACGCTACCATGGCATAACGGAGTATACTGTGTCGCCCGATGATATCCTTCATGCTTTGGCATTGCTGAGGACTACGTTATGTCTCTGTATCCTGTAACTTCGCTGTCATATCTCCCTTCCAAACTGACACACAGCCTACTGCTTTACAGCAAAAACACGAATGGGACAGAGCTATCTAAGCAGATGACTTGTACAAAGTCTCCTTCTGGTTTAATAGTATTAAATATGTGATTTCAGGAATAACAGTTGGTTTGACATCTATACCGCAAGGTATTGCGTACGCGCTCGTCGCCGGTCTACCGCCACAAGTGAGTATTTCATCACCACTACCACCACCATCATCATTATCAGCCCACGGCAGTCCACTGCTGGACACACTCATCTCCCATATTTAGAACAAACCAAATTGTTTATAATTACTCCTCTCCATCCAAAGGTTGCCTGGAAGAGATCGCTCTTAGCGATAAGATCGCCCATTGTTTTCTCATTGTGATTATTTCTTGTAATTGTTTATATTTATAATAAGTTTACTATTGTAATCTTTTGGAGGAAACTAAAGAGTATCTATCTATGTATCCAATCGATCCATTTTTTTTTATGGGTGATAATGTTATGGTAACCCCACCCGCGCTATCGGTATACACCGGCGGGGCACCAGTGAAAGATGATAGGTGAGGATGAAGTAGGTCAGTTAGCTCATCGTGACGAATTCAACAAGAATTGTTCACGATGGTTTCCAGGGGGACCACGTGGAGGTCGACCTGATAGGGCATATTGCTAGCAATGCTAGCAATGCTATCAAACTCCATTGCTAACAACCCGTTTCCCCCCAATCGATCCATTTGCTACTAAACGTGATATCTTGTTTTCAAACGTGCCACCTATCTGGCTTTATCTCAATGCAAATACAGATGGCTTAAAATGGTTTAGTAATAGTGTGTTATTAATTAAACAATAGGCAGCTTGGTGTCGTTCAATAATGAATATGATAAAAATTATCGACGTAATAAAAGTTTATCACATGTTTATGCTGTCTATTACCGCAAACAGGTACGACAATGCGTCGATTGTCACGCTTTTCTGCGACTCATTGTATTTTTTAAGAGCATTCGTAACCTTAAATTTTCGTTAATTCGTTTAATTCGTTACATTAGTTTCATCCCAACCATCTGGACGAGTGGCGTTCCTCCACCGTGCGTTTTTCAAGGCACTTTCTTCCACGCACAACCACTCTTTGGAATCAACTTCCAGCAACAGTATTTCCGAACCGATACGACAACATAACCTTCAAGAAAAGAGCATATTCCTTTTTAAAAGGCCGGCAGCACACCTGCAATGCTGTTAGTGTTGTGGGTGATCGTGGGCGGCGGTAGTCACTTACCATCAAGTGAGCTGCATGCTCGTTTGCCCCTTGTGTTGTAAAAGACCTTTATAAAAATTACGGCCCGCTCCCCCTCCCCTTAAATACGCTTATGTTTAGGAGGTATTAGTAGCTAAGATGCTAACAAGGAATTCCATAGAAGGAATGATAAAATAAAAACTAAATCATATGGTTGCCTCCTTTCTTATGAAAACCATGTGGCGTATCTTGATGAATTTGACTTCTACGGACCAGTCAAAAGGCAGATGTGTTTATATATGTCTATCCTCCTCTAACGCATTGGCAATGTCATAAATACAACGAGCAACACACTGTGTGAATTGTGCATTCCATCTATTCTATTTCGAAATCTTTGATTAGTAGTTAACCGTTGACATATAGGCCGTATAACCCTACCAAATTCAGATACAACCTGCTTGCATACTTTCTACATAAACTGTGTCGAATATATAATTTCTCTTCTCTCTTTTCATTTAAGAGTTTCCTCTTGTCTGTGCAACTAATTCATGCATCTTCCTCCAGCCAGCTCTATCCCAGGCCATATCCTTGACCTCCCTGTACGACATGACACCTAGTGTAGTGAAGTAAAATTTGTTATTGACAAATAATTGACATATCAATATGGACAAAAATTTTACATACACAGTTTCTATACACTAGCCTGCTATGAATTGAGAAAAATAGCAACTAATAGTGTATCTTTCGTCCTCTTTTTACTGATTATATTTTTACAAAAGTCGATTGCTTGGGTACCTCTGTCCCATTCGTGTTTCTACCGTGAAGCAGTCGTGTTTGCATGGCCGTGTTTCGGTTTGAAGAGTGGGATATGACGTGAATTTACAGGGTACAGAGGAATAACACCTGAGTCCTCAGGAATGGCAACGCATTGGGGGTATCATGGGTGAAACAGAATACTCTGTTATGTCCATGGTACTGCTCATGTCTATAGGCGACGGTTACCACTTTCCATCAGGTGGGCCATCGGCTTGTTTGCCATTCTGAGTTGTATAAAAAAAGTCTATGGGGGAAGACTATGTCCAGCAGTGGACAGTTACCGGCTGATATGGCATTGAAGATCGGGATTATAAACTGTACCTCTTTGTTCCAGGTGGGTCTCTACTCCAGCATATTCCCCGGGGTCGTGTACTCAATATTTGGCAGCTGTAAGGATGTGACCGTTGGCCCCACAGCGATACTATCCGCATTGCTCGCCAAATATGTAGCCAAGAGTGTTGATTTTGCGTATCTAGCTGCATTCCTCTCTGGATGCATTATCTTGTTGCTGGGAGTCCTACAACTTGGTAAGTTGGTGATCTTGGTCTTGGTTGTATTATACTCTGATGGTTGCAGGTTCGATTCCCGTAGAATACAAACCATTCCTTCTATCCCTCTCTTCTTACGAGCTTGCAGTGTCCCATAGGTGGCGCTGTGCGATATGTTGAGTAAAAAATTATATCCACTAAATAAAAACGTTTTAATTTATTTTTTAATTAATTTTATAATAAAAATAAAACTTAGAGGTAAGAGAAAGATTTTTAAAATTATTTTGTGTTGTTTATTACATAGTTTTAAATTTCAATATACGTTAATAAAGTGAAAAAAAAAAAAAATTGAAAATTACTTTTCCAGGGTTTGTTTTGGATTTCATATCAAAACCTGTTATAAGTGGCTTCACAACCGCTGCAGCGCTGCAGATCGCTGCTGCACAGCTTAAGACCCTGTTCAGGGTTGAAGGTATCTGTTGTTTCCTAGTATTATTGGGTAGATACTAGTGGTTACCGACGACTTCATCCACGTGAATGTGTTTTTTAATAGGTAATAATGGTATGGTAACCCCGCCTGTGCTATCGGTATACACTGGCGGGGCACCAGTGAGGACTAACAGAAGAGGATGAAAGTAGGTCAGTTTTTTTTTATACAACTTAGAGTGACAAACAAGCTGACGGTCCACTTGATGGAAAGTGGTAACCGTCGCCTATAGACATGAGCAGTACGTCCTTCCTTAATTCCACTAGAATTAACCACGATGGTTTCCAGGGGGAACCACGTGGAGGCCGACCTGATGGAGTATATTGCTAGTAATGGATTAGTTTTTTTAATAGGTGATAATGGAGTGGTAACCCCGCCCGCGCTGTCGGTATACACTAGCGTGGCACCAGTAAAGGATGATAGGTGAGGATGAAACAGGTCAGTTAGTCCATCGTGACGAATTCAACAAGGATTATTTACGATGGTTTCCAGGGGGAACCACGTGGAGGTCGGCCTAATAGGGTATATTGCTAGCAATGGGGCTAGCAAACTCTATTGCTAATAATCCCTTTCCCCCCGCAATGGGTCAGTTAGACCCCATTACTAACAATCCCTTTCCCCCCGAAGGTGCGATATTATAAAAGTATTATTGTATATATGTGACAGGATCATCAGGCAATACGTTCATAGATGCACTGATCAATTTCTTCAAGCACATCATGACGATACACCTGTGGGACTCGGCGCTCGGTATTGCCAGTATCGTGGCATTGTTACTGCTTAAAGTAAGTATATGTTTTAATATGACACTAGCTGTTACCTGCGACTTTGTCCGTTCTTGCCTTTTTTTATACCACTGAGGTGGCAAACAACCATACGGCCCACCTGATGGCAAGCGGTTTCCGTAGCCTATAAATGTTTTTTTTTATTTAGTTGACAAAATTTTTTATTTTTATTTTACTATGATTTAGCATTAAAAAATACATACAACTTCAAATTTTCACGCTGTTTTTTTTACAGCGATTTTTATATTCCGCCATATTGTTGCAAGAATTCTTCTTGCGATCGAATATAATAATTGTAGTACAATAAATTTTCATGTATATTTCTCGAAATAATGTATATGGTAAAACAACGTTTGCCGAGTCAGCTAGTTTATATATATATATTTTTTTATTGTGTGTTTTTTTATTTTTTTAATACAATTTAGAATGACAAACAAGCTGACGGCCCACCTGATGTAAAGTGCTAACCGTCGCCTATAGATATGAGCCATATAGATAGATATGTACCATGGACATAACAGAGTATTTATATTTCGCCCATAATACCCCCCATGCGTTGCCATTCCTGAGGACTCAGATGTTATTCCTCCGTACCCAGTAAATTCACTGCCATATCCCACCCTTCAAACCGAAACACAGCCATGCAAACACAACGGCTTCACGGCTGAAACACGAATGGGACAGAGGTACCCAAGCAATCGACTTTTGTACAAAGTCTCCCTCTGGTATATTTTTATGTGTAGTTTTGTTATTATTTTAATAATTGTTAATATTTGTTTTGACCCCTGTGTAAGTGTAGTCGTATATTTCTGTAAAATAAAGTTTCTTTCTTTCCTTTTTCAAATGTCTGTCTATTTATCCAATTTCGGTTACAGCGGCTGCCGACCGGCGGCGGCGGTATTCTCGCAGCTGTATCGCTGCACGCGAGCCGCGCGCGGAATGCACTGGTCGTGCTGGCGGGTGCATCTCTCGCGGCCGGACTGCACGCGCGGGGTATTGTGCCTTTTGCACTCGCCGGTATGTACTGTACTAAAGGTTTCCCTGGCTTTTCCAGCTTGAATCAGTATATAGTTTTTCCTTATGGGTGAAAATGGAATGGTAACCCCGCCTGCGCTAACGGGATACGCTGGCGGAGCACCAGTGAAGGGTGATCGATGAGAATGAAAACAGGCCAGTTAGCCCATCATGATGAATTCATCAGGAATTAACCATGATAGTTTCCAGGGGGAACCGCGAGGAGGTCGACCTGGTTGGGTATATTGCTAGCAATGGGATTCTCAGTCTCTATTACTAACAATCCCTTTCCCCCCATTAGTATATAGTAGGAGTGGCCGACTTGATTAGACCCAAGATCTACTGTTGACTGACGAAACCCTGTTTTACCAATTACATATTTCGTGAAATTACAAATGTTCGAACTACATAGTTCAGTACACAATTATGTAGTATTGTACATAGTATCTTTTATTTTATTAAGAGGGAAAACATAGAATTGAAAATTATTCTCAGTAACTACTTATTTATATTGGTGTGAGCATTGCGTCTGAGCATCTTCCGCTAGATTAGCAAAATATTATGTTTTTTGCCTTGCCACGATCCACTGGATTAATGGTCGTGATCGACCGGTTGGCCACCCCTGGTGTATAGAGTGTATCAAAATTCAATCATAATTGTTAAGTGTAATTGAATAGCAAAATAGTACATTACTGCAGCGGCCAGCAACTAAGGCATTGATGGACGAACGTGCAAATGTGGGCCGAGGCGTGGTCGAGGCACATACGTGAGTCATCAATGCCTAGTTGTGGCCAAGGCTTGTATAGTACTTTTCTCAATCAATGCGCGGAAATCAAAAACACTTTTTAAGCTCAATGACGAATAACGAACAATAATGATTTTTCACGCGCCATTTTGTTCCTTTGTTTTTTTTTTTTCAATAATCAGCTTTCTATTTGCAAGCCAGTTCGAAATTTAAATAAAACCTTTTATTAGTTACCTCCTTGGTAGCCATGTTTCGAAGTAGGTCATTCCATTTTTAAATTACAGGACAGATATAAGTTTACATAGTAATTTATCTGGCCGCAAAACACGACAGGTATGGATTTTTATACAACTTTTACCGGCCGCTGCCCGCATGTATTTGGCCAGTACGGCAATTTTGATTTATTTCTAAGAAGATTGTCAAAATAATGCTCACATTTCCAAGCATGTTTGAGAAAAACATATTTAACGCCTCATTTGGCTATTTTTTTACCCTCTTTTGCATTTTGACTATTTTTTGCCCTTTGTTGCCTCTTTATCTTGCTTTTATGTAATAAATTATTCATTTTGTTTGTGTACATATTGTTATTCTTTATAATCCCTATCGTTCTTTGAAGGGAACAATAAAGTTTTTATTTATTCATTCATTCTTTGGTCATTTCATTATACCAAATTCCATAAAAGAGTATTATGTTTCTAGGTAAAATCGAGGGTGGTCTTCCCCACTTCGGCCTCCCCCCATTCAGCACCACCGTTGGCAACAGCACGCTGAATTTTGAAGAAATGCTGAGCGTGTTTGGAGCAGAGGGCCTGGTGATGCCTCTCGTCGCTGTTTTAGAGAGTATCGCTATAGCGAAGGCTTTTGGTGAGTGAGTATTACGCTGGTGTTTTTTAATTGCTTGTATGTTGTTTTTAATGAGCATTACGCAGATTTTTTTTTATATTTCTTGTATATAGTTTTTAATGAGCGTTACGCAGTTTTTTTATATTTCTTGTATATAATTTTTATTGAGTGTTACGCAGTTTTTTTTTATATTTCTTGTATATAGTTTTTAATGAGTATTAAGCAGATTTTTTTTTTTAAATTTATTGTATGTTGTTTTTAATATTACGCATTTTATTTTATTTCTTGTATGTATGTAGTTTTTAGTGAGTATTACGCAGTTTTTATTTTAAATTTTTTGTATGTAGTTTTTTTTTTATTTCTTGTCTAATTTCATCCCAAATGTCCTAGACAAGGTAACATCTTTAGAACAGAATTGTAATTTAGTTGTTAAATTTGTATTTTGAATAATTACCCGACTTTAAACAGCTATAATTACCTCCAAAACACAGATACTGGGTTTGATTCTGAGGCGTCATTTATCTAAACCTATCAAATCTCAATTTGATATTAGAGCTCAATCTTTTATGTAAAAACTAAGGCGAACTAAAAGGGTCGATGAGTTGGCGAGAAGGGGATCAGAATCCAAAATGATAGATCCTGAACCATATGTTGCACTTGCATCAAGTGTTGTTAATTCTGCCCTTGAGGCGTTTGTGAGGAAAAACAGTAAAAGGAACGGAGGACTTTGAAGGGTCTTAGACATATTAAAAAGTTTTTAAATGACAATATTGAGGGATGGGATAAACTCATCTACATCGGTGGCAGACAACAGGAAAGACTCATTATGGGTGCCCTAACTGGATATATGCCAGTAAGGTATATACTATACAAGATGGGTCTATCTTCGGACACGCTGTGCAGACTGTGCGGTGAGAAATCGGAATCCATGGAACACTTTATGTGCAACTGCGATTCGTTGGCAAGTATGCGTAATAGTCTACTGGGAACGGCTTATCCAGACCCAGGGGTTAGGGCAATACATAGGATCTATGAAATAATGATAAGGTTAGGGAAAGCACAAAAGATCCCGATGGGTCGACGTGGGTCGCTTAGCTGACCCCATATGCGAATGTAAAATAAGGTAAATTAATTTTGTTTTATTACAATTTTAGTTAATGGTGGTCCATAAAACAGTAAATTTGTGAAATTATCAAATTAAAATATTACGTTAACAGAAAGAAATACGAATTTTAATTTTAGAAATAGATCCAGAGAAATGGTACCGTTCAGGTGCATAGGCGAGCGTTACCATTTGCCGTCTAATGGGCCGTCAGCTTGTGTGTCGTTGTAAGTCGCATGAAAAGATACACTGCATCAATCCTAAGTAAATGGGCAAAGGCAAGATAATGATGAGTCCCCCCTCCACTACCTCCCCCCCCCCACCCCCCTGTGTGCAGCGGGCGGCGCGGGCGTGGACGTGACGCAGGAGATGGTGGCGGTGGGCGCGTGCAACGTGGCGGCGTCGCTGGCGCAGGGCATGCCCGCCACCGGTTCCTTCACGCGGACCGCGCTCAACCGTGCTGCTGGAGTTGCCACGCCCGCCGGCTCGCTTGTTAAAGGTACTACTAACTTACTGCTACTAACTACTGGTACTAACTACTGGTACTAACTACTGGTACTAACTACTGGTACTAACTACTGGTACTAACTACTGGTACTAACTACTGGTACTAACTACTGGTACTAACTACTGGTACTAACTACTAGTACTAACTACTGGTACTAACTACTGGTACTAACTACTAGTACTAACTACTAGTACTAACTACTAGTACTAACTACTAGTACTAACTACTACTACTAACTACTACTACTAACTACTACTACTAACTACTACTACTAACTACTACTACTAACTACTACTACTAACTACTAGTACTAACTACTAGTACTAACTAATACTACTAACTAAAGTTTGCTTTTAATTTAGTTTAATTAAATTTAGTTAAAGTAGTTAAAATTTTAACATACTTTAATACTTTAAAGTACTAGGAGAGCAGAAGTATGTAGGTGGTGGTATTTTAAAATAAATATATTAGGGCCACTAGTCCCCATCACTAATTTATTTATTTATTTGTATGCCGGCAGCGTCCGTGGTGCTATTGGCGGTGACGCTGTTAGCGGACGCGTTTTACTACATTCCGCGTGCGGCTCTCGCCGGCGTCATTGTCGTCGCAATGATGTCCATCATCGACTTCTCCATTGTGATCACGCTCTGGAGGAACAACAGTACGTGACAAATATTTCTTGAAATTGTTCACCCTAATGGTAGATAGATAGATACTCTTTATTGTTTCCTCCAAATGATTACAATAGTAAACTTATTATAGATACAAACAAATACAAGAAATAATCACAATGAGAAAACAACGGGCGGCCTTATCGTTGAAAGCGATCTCTTCCAGGCAACCTTTGGATGGAGAGGAGTAGATATAAACAGTTTGATCGGAGGCACGATGAAAATTTTGTCGTTTTAAATATATATATATAATAAATGGTTATAACCTAAACCAACTAAAAAAACAAACCTACTCACAAATACACCATAATATACCAACCAAATAACCATATATATATATGGGATACCAGTTTAACGCACCGCCGTACTTTCTGATGGCCTCGGGTTCGATCCCTGTATAATACTTACACTTGTATTCGTGAGTAGATATGTTTTTTTAGTTGGTTTAGGAGTATATTGAAAAAGTATCTAAGTGTATCTATCAGTATCTGGTATCTACCTATAGTATAGTTTTGTTTATGTGTATGGAGTGGTAATCCTGTCCGCGGTACCGTAGTAGTACCGGCGGGCTACTAGGAAAACATGATAGGTGAGGATAAGGTCTGGCCAGTTAGCTATCGTGACGAGTTTACCTGGAATTAACCGCAATGTTGTCTAACCCAACCAAGCAATACCTAAGTGTTACCGTGTGGTCCCGAAATAGAATGGGCCACCCCTCGCTTTCTCGTGGGCGTCGTAAGAGGCGACAAAGGTACCTTAATAGTCGAGGGATGGATAGTAGCGTTCCTCCTAAAAATCACCAAAATTTAAACTGCTGATGTGTGATTGATAATTATTATGGTTTCCATGTTGGACCACAGGGAAGTCAATCTGACAGGGTGTTTTGCTAGCAATGGGGCAAAATAATATTTTTTCCTTCCGTAACTCGTGTGTCGGACCGCAGAGGGCGAGATGTGCACATGGGCGGTGACGGTGATAGTGGGCGCGGCCGCCGGCCTCGAGTACGGCATCCTGTGCGGCGCGCTCGCCGACCTCCTGCGGCTTCTGCTGGCCGCGGCACGACCGCGTCTGCACACGCATCTGTTCAAGGTTAATATCATCATTCATCATCATCATCATCAACATCATTATTATCATCATCACAATTAACATTAAGAGTGTTCATAGTGATAATTGGCAAAAACTTTATTACTTGTTACATACACACATATCTGTGACGCCTGTTTCCCATTAGGGTAGGCAGAAACAATGGAACGCCAAATGCTTCGATTCAAACAAACCTCTTTCGCTTCTTCCACATTCATCAATCTTTACATACATGCTCGCTAGTTAAAGATACATTTAATTTGGCCCTTCTTCAGCACGTCACCTATTTGGTCGACATACATCCGTCTAGGCGCCCCCTACCGACATTTCCATTCATTCATTATTACTTGATAATGTTTAAAGACAATAAAACTGTTAAAAAACAAACATTTTACAATAGTTTCCACATCATATTTTCACCTTAAAAAATGCTATAAATAAAAAATTTTATATTAAAATTGGAAATATACTATTGGGTAAACAGTATACACGGTTATTCGGTTATATCTTTCTCTCTCACACTCACTTTCCCTCACTCTCGACTGTTTTTTTTTTAATGGGTGAAAATGGCATGGTAACTCCGCCTGCGCTATCGGTATACACTGGCGGGGTACCAGTGATAGATGATAGGTGAGGATGAAAAGGCAGGTCGGTTAGCTCATCGTGATGAATTCAACGATAAATTAGTTACGATAGTTTCCAGGGGGAACCGCGTGGAGGTCGACCTGATAGGGTATATTTATAGCAATTGGAACTAACTTGCCTATTACTAACAATCCCTTTCCCCCACTCTCGACTGTTTTTCTTATTCTTGCTCTCGCATACTATCTCTCTCTCACACTTTATCTCTCTCCTCTTTTCTACGCCTAACGACATGATATACCACTATGTTTGTGTGTATTTGTCGTAGAATTGTTGTAGAATTTTTTATATTTTGTCTGATTCCTTTTATGCATTTACTGTGTCTGATTTGAGCCATCTACCTTCCTCTCTGTACTTATCCATTCTTTATGCCAGGTTGTCTGTAAGAGATTGCTTTTAGCGATAAGGCCGCCTTTTGTATATGCACATTCTGTATAAATACTCCTTGTATACATCTCTACTGTGCGCAATAAAGTGTTTATTATTATTATTATGTTTGACTTTACAATTGTTGAATTATTTTGTTGTAGAAAAGAAAAAAAAGCATTTAAAAAGACGTATTAAATTTAAAATGTTTTAGATTAAATTTTTAATTAAAGTGAATTATAATGGTATTTTCTGATATCGCTCACAGCTCAGGTTACATGTATATTTCCATAACTAATAACGCAAGTTTAAAAATATTTGTAGTCTAGTGTTATTTAATTCATTATAATTGTTACTTCATTTTCTCGCACTGTATAACTATGTTAAAGTGAATGCTGTGAATACCTATAATAGGCGTGTGCATTAATATTGTGTTATATTTAATGTTTGTTATATCTATATGTTATAATGCAATATGCTGTTGGTGTTCCTTATATAAATAAATAAATAAATAAATATTCGCCTGTGCTATTAGTATACGGTGACAAGATAGTGAGAGACGATAGACGAGGATGCCAGCAGGTCAGTTAGTCCATCGAGACAAATCTCATAGAAATTAATCACAATGGTTTTCAGGGGAACCGCGTGGAGGTCAACCTGATAGGGCATATTGCTAGTAATGGGACTGTTTGACCCTATTACTAAGAATTGCTTTCCCAACTATTTAGTGTACTTAGGTTGAGACCAAGGTATTTACTTTTGTATAATTTTATATTAAGGTGGGCAACATAGACTGCATGTCAGTGACGCTAGTGGGCGCAGTGAGCTACGCCAGTGCCGAGTGGCTGCCGAGGAAGCTGCGGCGAGTGGTGGACTCGCCCCACTCGCCACACTCACCCCACTCGCTCCATTCGCCCCACGCGCCTCGCCTGCTAGTACTAGACGGCCGGCACGTGCACAGTATCGACGTTGGTGTCGCTGAGGTACATTAGAGGGTCCGAGTTAGATTTTTGACCTCTCTAATTTGAGATAACTCAAGTTCTCAGAGTATAATCATAAAATTATACTCTGGATAATTATTACCAGAAATATAATATATTTTTAATCTTGGATATTTTGTTAAATGCGTGTTCTCTCGCCAAAGCAGGAATGAATGACAGCCAGTCTATTCGTTACTACCCTCACAAAAAATTTACTGGGTACAGAGGAATAACATCTGAGTCCTCAGGAATGGCAACGCATGGCGGGTATTATGGGCGAAATATAAATACTCTGTTATGTCCATGGTACTGTTCATGTCTATAGGCGACGGTTAGCACTTTCCATCAGGTGGGCCGTCAGCTTGTTTGCCATTCTAAGTTGTATAAAAAAAAATATAAAAATAATTATAAAAACCGATACATAATCGAATCAATTGTAATACTTAAATTCATAATTAAAACAATTGACAATTTAACAATCTAGAATATTTCACCAGAGGGAGACTTTGTACTAAAGTCGGTTGCTTGGGTACCTCTGACCCATTCGTGTTTCAACCGTAAAGCAGTTGTGTTTGCATGGCTGTGTTTCGGTTTAAAGGGTGGGATATGGCGTGAATTTACAGGGTATAGAGGACTAACACCTGAGTCCTCAGGAATGGCAACGCATGGGGGGTATCATGGGCGAAACAGTATACTCTGTTATGTTCATGGTACTGCTCATGTGTATAGGCGACGGTGACCACTTTCCATCAGGTGGGCCGTCAGCTTGTTTGCCATTCTAAGTTGTATAAAAAAATCTAATAGGCATTTACGTAACAATATATTATTGTTATTGTACTATAAAATAATGTATTTATTAACAGAGATTTGAGAGGAGTTTCTTGCTAGTTCTTTTTAGCAGAAACAAATTTCCGAACCTAGTAATAGATACATAACTAATGACGACTTAAAAGTACTTGTAAATAAATCTTTAATTGGAATTTGGACATTGTTCCAGAACCTTCTATCTGTGATACTAGAGTTAGAGAAGGATGGCTACGTGTTCCTCCTTTGGAATTTTCCCGACAGATGTCGCAAGCTGTTCCAAGAGTTGCGGCCGGAATTCGAGAGGAAACTCGTCAATGGGCCCAGTATAGACCAGCATGTATTAGGTATGGCTCTTTTTTTTTTAATAGACGCAAATGCAATGGTAACCCTACGCTATCAGTATACGTTGGTAGGGCATCAGTGAGAGATAAAAGCAGGCCAGTAGGCCCATCGTTATGAATTTTATGGTACTATTCTTGTTCATAGGCGATGGTTATCACTTTCCATCAAGTGGGCGTTAGTTTGTTTGCCATTCTGTATCATAAATAATAAATAATTATTAATATAAGTAACATAATAAGTAAATATCGCTCCCTTCAAAATTGAAATGTAGCCATGCAAATTACTGGTTCATGGCAGAAACATGAATGAGACAGACACAAGCAGACGACATGTACAAAGAGGGAGACTTTGTACAAAAGTCGATTGCTTAGGTACCTCTGTCTCATTCGTGTTTCCACCGTGAAGCAGTTGTGTTTGCATGGCTGTGTTTCGGTTTGGAGGGTGGGCTATGGCAGTGAATTTACAGGGTACAGAGGAATAACACCTGAGTCCTCAGGAATGGCAACGCATAGGGGGTATCATGGGCGAAACAGTATACTTTGTTATGTCCATGGTACTGCTCATGTCTATAGGCGACGGTTACCACTTTCCATCAGGTGGGCCGTCAGCTTGTTTGCCATTCTAAGTTGTATAAAAAAAAGTCTCTCTCTGGCAAATACCAAATGACTAACAACGTTTATTTTAATTCACAGGACTGGACATCATAGGAAGATAATGTTTGTTACATTGAAAATAATCGTTTATTATTTAATAGTAAACGCTAGTAAATATAATAAGAAAAAGGAAAAAAAAAACTAGGTGCTTTTGCCTTACCAAATATAGTTCATATGCTTGAGTTGGAACGAGACATCGGATGTTGCTGTCTCATTCTATCTTATGGTCTTGCTAGCGATATTTTATCGACGGATTCGCTTGCCACTCGCCTAGAGTATATTTAAATAAATACATATAATGTTAACATAGGTTTGAAAGAGTAACTGTTGAGTTTTATGCTCTTCTCAACAGATAAGAACTTTCTAAACCCTGCAATAGATTTTAAAAATGACGATTTAAAAGTGCTTGTAAACAAGTCTATTTCAATAAAGATTTGAATTTGTATTCTGTTAGAATTTTTAGAAGTAATTATGCCCCATTTTGTGGCACATTGGTGGATTTTTACTAAAAACCCTAGTGTCTATTTAGAAATTAGTTCTGTAAATAAAAATAAGAAAAAATTTCAGTGAATTAGTTTCATTAGTTCAGAAATGTGTAATGTATCTCCATACACACATACATATATATGTGACGTCTGTCTTCCATTGGGGGTAGACAGAAACAATAGAACGTCAAATGCTTTGATTCAAAAAGACCTTTTTCGCTTCCTCCACATTCATCAATCTTTTCATACACGCTCGCCGATTACGGGTACTTTAAATTTGACCCTTGACGCTAAGTGACCTTAATAATGGGTTATAATTATAGAACATAGTCATTATATGAACGCAATGCCAATGAAACTAGTCTAAATTTATATTCATATAAAAAAAAATATTAAATTAAGCGGTTAAAATGGTTTTAAAGCTAGCCTTAAGTATACATGTGAAAACGGTTAAAAACAACTCTTAATTAGCAGTCAAAACAGTATTTACCAAGCAGTAAAAAATCGCTTTTACCAAGTGGTTAAAAGCAGGTTTAACCCAGCGGTTAATAACAGTTTTAACTGATTGGTTAAAAACAGTTTTAACCAAGCGGTTAAAACAGTTTTTACCAAGTAGTTAAAAACAGTTTTTACTAAGCAATTAAAATAGTTTTTACTAAGCGGTTAATGACAGTTGTAACCGAGGGGTTAAAAACAGTTTTAACCCAGCTGTTAATAACAGTTTTAACTGATTGGTTAAAAACAGCTGTTAACTAGCAGTCAAAACAATATTTACCAAGCAGTCAAAAATCGCTTTTACCGTGGTTAAAAACAGTTTTAACCCAGCGGTCAATAACAGTTTTAACTGATTGGTTAAAAACAGTTTTTACCAAGCGGTTAATTAATTAATTAACAGTTGTAACCGCGTGATTAAAACAGTTTTTGTAACTCTTTGCTAACTTGTTCCTTAGAGACTACAGTATGGGATACTTCAAGAAGTGGAAAATTGGTAAACAGTACCAATTTTATCACTAGCCATTGGATGAATAACATTTAATAAAACAAATTTCCCACATTTTTGGGAAAATAACGGATATTTGGTTATTTAACCGTTAATAATGAAAAAGTGAAATTGGATAGCTGTATTTAGAAAACTAAAATATTGTAAGACTTGTTATGTAAGGACATTCCATCTGCCATCTCTTTTCCACCTTGTATTACAGAAGCTTATATTAGATAGCTGTAAAGTATTTAGATGTTATTTAATCTTTTAATATGAAATACGTATGTAATTTGCATGTAAATTGTGAAACAAATGCAAGATTGTGATTTGTAATTGTGGTGATAAAATGAATTCCATCGAATATTTTAATTGAAATATACTTTACTATAATTAAGTAGATGAATTATATTTAATAAATAATATTATTATACACTAGATGATCCGGTGAACTTAGTATCGCCTACAACGCCATCTATGAAAGGTAATCGGAAGTATTTTACATATAAATATACCTATTTTAATATTTCAATTTTACAGCTGATCTTAATGAGTTTTTAGACTTTTTTTTTTGTTTTAAACGACTGCTGTATTAACTTGACAAACAAAATAAAAAAGTAATATTTAAATCGGTCAAGCCAGTTTTTAAGTTTTAGCGAACAATAAATGTAAGCAACAGGTGTATTTCTCTTTCTTTATGAAAACTAAACCCTCTTATTCATAAAAACGTCAAGCCTATTTTAGTTATTGAACTGTTTTGTCTCTTTCTTTCGTGCTAAATTCGTAATTTGAAAGAAAGTGACAAAACAGTGTAACATTTAAAGTAGATTTGTACAAGATTTTAGTTTTTATGAATAATGTGGTAAATGTATATGTATTAATATTTACTCCTGACTGCCCTTTCAACATATTTACATAGTCGTAAGCATAAAATATTATTTTAAATAATAAAAAAAAAAGTGTGATGCAGTAGCTTTGCTGTTCATTTACAATGTATATTTAATTAATTATATCGAATCTTAATTAATTTTTTTTTACAACACGGAGCAAACGAGCATGCGGCTCACCTGATGGTAAGTGACTACCGCCGCCCATGATCACCCGCAACACCTACGGCATTGTAGGTGTGCTGCCGGCCTTTTAAAAAGGAATATACTCTTTTCTTGAATTATGTTATGATGTATCGGTTCGGAAATACTGCTGCTGGAAGTTGATTCCAAAGAGTGGTTGTGCGTGGGAAATTACAAACGATTACAATGTTACATTCCTATTTAACCCATAATTGTGTACTTACGTTAATATTTGTAAAACCGTCAGTATATCTATACTTATAATAAGTCTGTAGAGAGGTCAATTCTGTACATGAAATATATTTCCAAAATAACTATTGATTAGTGATCGATATTGATGCCAAAAATGCAATCAGTAAAATTTTTGTCTGTCTGCCTGTTTGTATGTTCGTTGTAGAAACAAAAACTACTCGATGGATTTTAACGAAACATGGTACAATTATTCTTCATACTCCTGGGCAGGTTATAGTATACTTTTCATCACGCTACGATCAATAGGAGCAGAGCAGTGAAGGGAAATGTGTCTGTTACATCAAAACCACTGAACCATGAGGAAGGACATAGGCTACTTATTTTACGAAAAACGACGGAAACGCGGGCGAAGTCACGGGGAATAACTAGTTTTATAATATAAATATAAATAAGATGATTTGTAAAAATATATGTTTTTAAACATTTGACATTTGACTTTATGTGTAATCAACGCGACAGTTTAAAATTATATATTATTTTTTAAAGAGATACGAGGCTTCACCTTTCAGTTTCACCTGTATTTATAAATATACTTTTTTTTATGATTTCTAGTGGAGTTTCCAATATCTTTGAATAAAACCATTGTTGAATATTCCAATTTTATTGTAAATCTATTTTACTATTAAAAAAATTTGAAAATAAAAATTGTAATTTTTAATGTTTTTTTATTTAACAACAAACTCATAGTGCTTACTGTTCATATCTATAGGCGACGGTTACCACTTTCCGTCAGGTGGGCCGTCAGCTTGTTTGCATTTCTAAGTTGTATAAAAAAAAGAAAATTTAATAAATTTATAGAATAAAATAAATAAGACAATCCAAATAAGTGCTGAATGGGACATGACTAATGGGATGGAGAAGGGGATAGGCTATTTATATCCCAGTCAATCAATATTCAAATTCAAATACAAAATATTTATTTATGCTCCACAATACTGTATGAACAAACTACTTAAGAAATACACAGTTTATGTATTGTGGAGACTGATAGCTGAAATTAGGAAAGCCTGTGCTACAGCCACCAGGCCACCAACCCCAGACAACTTGTAACAATGTATGTTAATATCAAAGTTAACTATGTAACGTTAACTATACATTATTGGGGGGAAAGGAATTGTTAGTAATGGAGACTGAGAATCCCATTGCTAGTAATATACCCAACCAGGTCGACCTCCTCGCGGTTCCCCCTGGAAACTATCATGGTTAATTCCTGATGAATTCATCATGATGGGCTAACGGGCCTATTTTCATTCTCATCTATCACCCTTCACTGGTGCTCCGCTAGCGTATCCCGTTAGCGCAGGTGGGGATACCATATCATTTTCACCCATCAAAAAAAAAAAAAAAAAACTATATATTATTTAATAATTCTAATAATATTATATAATGTTAAATGATAAAAACCAAGAATGTGTGTGTGTGTATATGCTGGAGGATTTGCGTGTGTGTGTTTGTCTGAATATACACCAGTCATGAGGACAAAGTCGCGGATAAAATTTATAGAAAGAAAAAAGTAGATATGACCATAAGCGCGCCGAAAAGACACGCTTAGTCATATCTATTTTTGAAGCTTGGGTTTTATTTCAATGGATGATTTAATGGAATGGTAACCCCGCCCGCGCTATCGGTATACACCAGCTGGGCACCAGTGGAAGATGATAGGTAAGAATGAATGCAGGTTAGTTGGCCCACCATGATGAATTCGTCAAGAATTAACCTTGATGGTTTCCAGGGAGAACCGCGTGGAGATTGACAGAGGTTACCAGAGGGAAACTTTGTACAAAAGTCGATTGCTTGGGTACCTCTGTCCCATTTGTGTTTCAACCGTGAAGCAGCTGTCTCTGCATGGCTGTGTTTCGGTTTGAAGAGTGGGATATGGCGTGAATTTACAGGGTACAGAGGAATAACACCTGAGTCCTCAGGAATGGCAACGCATGGGGGGTATCATGGGCGAAACAGTATACTCTGTTATGTCCATGGTACTGCTCATGTTTATAGGCGACGGTTACCACTTTCCATCAGGTAGGCCGACAGCTTGTTTGCTATTCTGTCATTTTAAGTTGTATAAAAAAAAACAATCCCTTCCTCCCATTTCCTGAAGCCTGAGTTGGAATGGGTTAACTGACCTGCTTGCTTGCCTCACCATCCTTCACTGGTGCCCCGTCAGTGTATATCGATAATACAGTAGGCGTCACCATTACATTTTCATCCATAAAAAAAATCGTAATCCTCAAGAACGGCAACCATGGGCATTAATGTGTTTTTTGAAGTCCATGTCAACTGGTAACTTTTTCATAGCGCTGGCCGTCAGCTTGTTTGCCATTCTGAGTATCGTGAAATGTGTACTTAAAATTTTCAAATTGAACATATAGCGACTCTTTTAAAAAATATTGGCTCCTGGACTCACTGGCTTCATAGATTAAAGATAGACTGGCTTGTATTGTGTATTGTACATTTATGTATTGTCCGTCAGTTAGTGTCGATTTGCAGCCGTTCTAACTCTCGGTTGTTTCCTGTCTACGTGTCTGTAAGAGATTCGGTAACGGGAAGGTGTCTATTACAGTATGTAAGCTACAAATAGTACCTTTTTTTTATACAACAGAATGGCAATCAAGCTGACGGCCCACCTGATGTAAAGTGATAACCGTCGCCTATAGACATGAGCAGTATCATGGACATAACAGAGTATTCTGTTTCGTCCATGATACTCCTCATGCGTTGCCATCCCTAAGGACTCTGGTGTTATTCCTCTGTACCCAGTAAATTCATGCCATATTCCACCCTTCAAACCGAAACACAGTCATGCTAACACAACTGCTTCACGGTTGAAACACGAATGGGACAGAGGTACCCAAGCAATCGACTTTTGTACAAAGTCTCCCTCTGGTGGGTCTGCAAATAGCTTAGTTGGGTCTATATTAAAAAAAAAGTATGAAATCACTCAGGTGCGAGTTGAACTCGCATACCGAGGGTTCTGAACATAAATATCATCATCATCATCATCATATCAGCCTTAAACTGTCCACTGCTGAACATAAGCCTCCCCCTTGGGGGGGGGGGGTTGCCAATAGTTGCCACGCTTGGCAGGCGGATTGGCAACTGTAGTCAGGCTTTAAAGATGTTTCCTATCCCTCGCCCTCCCTTAGTCGCTTCTGATGATACCTACGGGGAAGAAGGGGGTACAATGGAAAAATATTTTTACTTTCCATGTTAGGAGGTCCATAACGGACACTCAAATTCATTCAAGTGGGTATTTATTTTATTGGTAAAGATAATTAAATCAGTCACAGCACATAATCGCAGTAAACGCCTGGTCGTCAAGCTGGAATACCCTGTGTTATAAGGGATCAGCCATCGAACTTTTGGAAACACAACCCGCTACATCCAGATTTGAGCCAATTTAGAAAAAGTTTGGCCTGACGAAGAATCGAACCCAGTGCACCATTTCCATTCATATGAGGTCTTAAAACACGAAGGAAGTTACAGCTAATATTACAAACTTAATTCTTACATTCTCACTATGGGTTTATTTGTTACTTCTTAACCCCTTAACTGTTTAAGCGATTGTCATGAAATAAAGATGGAGAAATGGTTTTTATTCTGATCAAATAATATATCCAAGTCATGTCTTTTTTTTTGCAACACAGGGGGCAAACGAGCATGCGGTTCACCTGATGGTAAGTGACTACCGCCGCCCATGATCACCCACAACACTAAAGGCATTGTAGGTGTGCTGCCGCCCTTTTAAAGTTCGGAAATACTGCTGCTGGAAGTTATCATGTGGGCAAAGTCGCGAATAAACAGTAGTTTTTTTTTTAATGGATGATAATGGAATAGTAGTCCCACCCGCACTATCGGTATACACCGGCGGGGCACCAGTGAAGGATGATAGATGAGGATGAAGTAGGTCAGTTAGCCCATCGTGACGAATTCAACAAGAATTGTTCACGATGGTTTGCAGGGGGAACCACGTGGAGGTCGACCTAATAAGGCATATTGCTAGCAATGGGGCTATTAAACTTCATTGCTAACAATCCCTTTCCCCCCAATAAACAGTAGTTAAAAGTTCAGTGTTCATATTAAGATTATTTATATTACATGAATAGCCAGGACAAGCGACCTGAAGTGGCAATGGGCTGGTCATATAGCTCGAAGAACCGATAACCGATGGAGAAGAAAGATTCTTTAGTGGCGACCTCGTACGGGCAAACGCAGTATAGAACGACCCCCAAATAGATGGAGCAACGACTTCAAATGCATTGCAGGGAGTCAGTGGATGCAGGTGCCTCAGGACAGTTCTTTATGGCGCTCTATGTGCGTGGCTTTATTTAGCTGTGGAGAGAATGGCTGAGACGGTGATGATGATGACGGTGATGATGAAATCACACGGACGAAGTAGCAAATCAACGAATACTGGAGTAATTTATGTTTGTTGTTTGTTTTCCGATTACATGAAACTGTCTCAGGGTAATTCGATCTGCAGTATGTACTTGTCACTTTAAAACATTGCGGCTGGTTCTATGAATCGTATCTTCCGTATTTAGAACAAGTGTTCAAGTTATAAGCTATTGCGTATTTAATTAAATGTGAATTACATAATGTTACATTTCAAAATTAAATCTTCTCTCCTTGTGAACACATATTTATTTATTTGTGTGTGTAGGTATGTATATAATGTACGTGTGTATTTATATGATTAAATGTATAAACATAAGTTTGTCTAGTTGTTTTTTGTTTTCGCTCTATTCGCTGACATTGACGCTCCTTTTCACTTTAGGTTCGTTGGAAGAGAAGAGTAAAGAGTAAAGATTTGATTGTTTATTTGTAATGGATAAACTCAAAAACTACTCAACCGATTTAGAAAAATTCTTTTGCGGGTGGGGTTACCATTCTATATTCATTCCATTAAAAAAAAAAGCGTCTCATGAACACATACATATTTATCTATATACTAATTTGCCACTCATCTAGAGAGCCTGTTATCATAAGATGGTATTTCTGACAATCAAAATTAGATCATTATTTGCTTAGCTTAGCAATTTGGTTAACTACGGAAATATCACAATTCTAAGACTTCAAGTCCTTAAAACTTTCTTCAGGTTTATTTTTCTACTTTATTATATCAACCGTTTACTGCTTACTGCTGAACATAGGCCTTTCCCATAAGGGGGGGGGGGGGGTTTGAAAGTAATTGTCATACTTGGCACACGGGTTGGTTCTTTTGTTATACCACTGAAGTGGCAAACAAGCATACAGCCTACCTGATTGTAAGCAGTTGCCGTAGCCTATGAACGCTTGCAATACGAGCATGTTGCTGACCCTGTAAAAACTCTTTACCCCTCTTTTGAAGAACCGTAATCGCAGTTTGACTTTGATAATGCTTAAAGAGGGACGCTGCTGCCCATCCCTCGACCATTAAGTTGCCTTAGTCGCCTCTTACGAAACGTACGGGAAAAAAGGGGTGACTCATTCTATGCCGGGTCCAAATGGCAATTTCTGTGCTTATTGAATATTAAAACAGTAAAATCGCTGGCAGTTAATCTCTTAAACCAGTTCCTCGATGGATTCAAGGCCTATCTGCTCCAATCCCAACCATTTTAAATCGTAAATACCAAAGCAAGGGTTTTGTCTTTATGCTCTGTTTGAACTGGGGAAAGA